TGTTGATGCAACTGATATGCTACTTAAATATACATCACACTAAATAGTTAGACATTATGATCTTCCTGACCTTTGCTTCATGAAATTTTCTCTAACTGGACCTCTTTAAATTTTAGTTGAATACCCCTGCAATAGAGCTATTGAACTTATTAGAATTTTTAAAATCCCAATATCTCAATATATATCGCAGAAAGAATAAATATTGCAATGTGATTTATTCCCAATATCGTGCAGCCCTAACACACACACAGACACACACACACACATATATATATATATATGCAATATCTTTATTTAAAAAACTGACACAGCAATCACTACAAACACGATGATCATTGCAGATCATTGCAGCGAATGTGGTGTACTTCACAGAAACATTATAGATAGCTGAATGAAGGACTTTTGCCCATAAACCCACATTATAGTAATTTAAACACACAAATTGCATGTACTAATTAGTTTTTTTGGCCTTGATTTATGGTCAATGTAAAGAGCAGTACACTGGTGCAAAAAGAAGCCACTCTTTTTGTCATCATATTTGTAAAAATTGTGCTGATTTATGTATACAGCCCATTCTCTGAAGCAGTGTCCCACGCTCCAAAAATGTTTTGTTCCAGACATCTCACATGTTACATAATACCAGTACATACATAAATAATATGAAATATTTTTGAAAAATTCATTTTTGCACTCAATGTTTTAAAGCTTTTTTGTTTTAGGGAAACACCAGCTCTGAGATCCACACTCTCTGGTGCCATGCAGTAAGGACTGTATATGTCTCCCTCTGGACAAGACATCCTGACGATGAAAGAATGGATAGATGGACAAATGAAAAATCGAATAGTCCACTATGGTCCTGATGGCGCCCCGCTGTTTCCTTAATACTATAATGAAACGGTATCCTGACTGAATCCTGAGATTGTAACGGGTGACATATGGCCTCCGTGCTGTGAGAACGCAGGCTATTTGCATCGCGAGTGCAGGCTCGTCTGGGGAGCCAGGAGGAAAGAAGGGACACGTGAGCTTATGACAGTAAAAATAACACGGTACAGCTTTTGCTGGAGCTCCCAAATCCCCGAGGGACCCAGGGGCCGACGGCGGGGCATGAGTCAGACCCAGCAAGACAGCAGAATGTCTGCTCTACCCTTCTGGCCACTGGGGAGAGCTCTGGACATCAAGAGGAAGAGAGACCGTGCCAAGGCTCTCAACGCAAGTATGCCAGAGAGATCAGGCTTATTCACGACGCTGGGCAGAACTTCTCCTTCACGCCCCTGGAAAATGTCGGCAGATAAGGTTTTATCCCCTTGGACAAAGGAGAATTTGTCATGCTTTAGTGCATCGTTGGCGTGAAAAATGGAAATGATGCAACAAGATGGGGTTAATGAGATGTTTGTCTTTCTCCAGATGTTTTTAAAAACACACCAGACTGATGTTTGCTAATTGTGTGCAGCATTCAAGTGAATATCCATAAATAATACACATTGGGAGAAATTACTAAACAAGACCAGCTAACATTCACAGTTGTGAAGAGGAACTCAGAGACGTGAAAAGGTTTATTTATAAACATACAGGGAAACAACTGTGTCGGTTATATAATGTCTGCTCTTGATAACTGCAGTGCCCTCAGACTAATGGTGCAATATCAAGTATATTATACATCCACTCCCAACTCTGTATTGAATAACTGGTTGGAAGATGGATTGATGGATGGATGGATGGATAGTTGGGGGGTGGAATGTCCTATTACAGTTGGACAGCAGAACCTTAATTGAGTTACCAGCACAATGTAAATCAGCATCTTTGCGTATCTAAATAATCATCTGTTGAGTGATGGATAAAACAATATGTGGTTTTTATGACGGGTACAATAAAGGATTGGAAAGGCATGTCTGGTGAGGGGTGAAATGATTTTACCTTATTTGGGGATCTCCTGGTTCACCTCTGATGTAAAATCTCTCTACCACTGATTTCAGACCTAAATCAATAGCTATCATGTGTCCTTTTGGGGGAGGGGGGCGGGGGCTTTGGAACCAGTAAGAGTTATGCATCATTTATAAATATGTATGTATTTCTTATGATGGTCTTATAAAGAACTTTTGTACGGCACATCATCTAAAGTGCTACAGTCATTAACAGTATGTAGTGCGCCAGGATAAATGGTCCTCACACTCAATCAGCACCCTCCATAAAGCACTATCAATGAATGCTACAATGACAGCCTCTTCTGCACACAGAAAGCAGTTATAATGTATGTGACAGCAGGTGCATCTATTGAACTTAACCTAATTTTAAGAAGAAAAAAAAAATAAACAAAAAAATAAGCACTTTTCCAGGATCACACAGAGAGGGGTGTGGAGGCTCAGTCGGTGGCACTGTTGCCTCATACTTACAGAGTTGGGGGTCAAATCAAGCTGTGTTTGGTGGGTGCCAAAGACATGCGAGTAGGTGGACGAGTGTCTGTAAAAGGCATGTGCCCTACGACAGACTGGCAATGCATGTGCCCTACGACAGACTGGCAATGCATGTGCCCTACGACAGACTGGCAATGCATGTGCCCTACGACAGACTGGCAATGCGTGTGCCCTACGACAGACTGGCATCCTGGGCTCTCGGCTAGCAGGGTTGCTCCCTGGTTACATGGATTCGGCTGCCTCACAAATAAAAAAAAAAAACAAACACAAAACAGAACCTGCTGCCAGAATTACTTTGTAATTTTATTTATTTATCTCTCAATGTAACTCATAAGCCACTAAAAGGAGATTCTTCTCCATAGTGATATGAGACCAGACGAGGGAGACATTACTTTTAGGACATACTAAATGTACCACATTACCATCCTTAATACAATCTGGGCAGTCTCTGATTACTATCTCTGGGGTGATCACAGACACTGTCCTAAGTACTCTGTCATAAATTTCACTCACTTTAATGGCACAGGCCACAAGGCAAAATGACTGCTTTTCCAAATCAATGTAACTCTGCTCTGACCTCTGGGAACTGGCTTGCTGTAAAAGCCACACCCTCGTGCATCTCAGAGAAAACTAGGCTAATATAATTTATTGACAACCCGCCCCCGCCCCTCGCCGCAAACCACATGCTACATTTACCAGGCCCCAAGCAGTGGCTGGAGAAGATGCAGAATGATGAACCAATAAGCTGATCACGTGGTATCAGCACAGAAATGGTGGGCTGACCAATCAGAATGCAAAGCTGAGCGCACTTGGCGTTCAAATAACCACGCTGGGTTTTTTTTTTTTGCGTAAATATTTTGAGTCCTCGGATATCCTGATTATTTTTTCTTCTGAAATATCTGGGTCAGTCTTGTATACAAGAGCTAACAACATAAAGAGCCTTAATACGAATGCTTATTTGACTGTTTACATTAATGTGGAAATTGTATCGCCCCCTGCATGTGATGACAAATAATATTCATTTTTCTTATTAGCATTTCTGTTAACAACAGCCGCATTGTGTAAAATATGAGTCTTTGTCCACAATCTGGATGATTCTCGTCTTTAAACGCGTATTATAATATTAGACAATAACAAGTCGGCTTTAAATGGCTTATATGTGCATAAAATGCGATAAAGGTCGCATCTATAATGTTTCTGTGCGGCGCACCTCTTTCGCCCATGTACTGCAATGTTCGCCGTGTATGTAATGATTGTCGTGTCACCTTTTTAATTTAAGATGTTACGCGCATGTATAGGCTTCGCAGCCCATTTAATCAAAGGAGAAAAGCGCAGAAAATCGCCGTGCGACGCGTGTAAACAGAGCACCGAGCTAGGAGGAAATCTGGCGTGTATTTGCGGGTTAAGCGCCGGACTGGCCTCCTATAAATTATGTAGCAGTAGGAGCCCTCCCATACCAATCTTAGCGAAGTGACTGTGCATGCAAGGTGATCCGAGATGATTGAAACGTAGCCGGATCGTCATTGTAAAACACTGATTATTTTACTCCCCCCCTCCCTGGGCAGAAGCTGGGGTAGATCTGGGGCAGGAAGCGCAAACCGTGGGAGCGGTGAGAAGTGGACGCGAACGCGGCGGAAACATGCCGGCAATACGCGGCTGCCTCCTGCTCGCCTGCGCTCTGCTCCAGTTTGACGTTTCAGGTGAGCTTCAGTTATTTATCAGGCATTAGGTGCTATTAAATAATGTAAATCCCCTTAACGAGAAACTCAGAGAGTCGCCTGCATTTCCAGCCGTGTCCAGAAACCAGATATTTGTTTTGTAGATGGTGCATGTTCAGTTTTTTTCGGTTCTGTATACGGTCCTGTAGCCTGTGTTCAGTTATGCATTTCAATGGGTAGCTGAAGCCTACCGAGATGCGTATGCCCTTTATTATATTGTTTACTAAGCAGTTGTGTAATCTGAATGACAAGCAGATTTTTGCTATTTTCAGCGTTATTCAAAATCATCTTCACTTTATCCCGTAATCGCAAATGGACAGTGGATTAACACGCATTCGTAGGAAATTAAGTTTCTGTTATTTATCGGTGTTGTCTGCGATCAACATGCTAATAATCCCATAGCATATAACATATAAGCCCCATAGCATATAAAAGAATTAGTTTAACTGGTCTTCCCTATACATTATGTTTGTTTTAAATGAATATGGCGTGTTTATCACCCATCGATCGGCGTCAGTTCTTTAAATGTAATGAAGTATTACCACTGTCATGTGTTTAGTTGGTTTTCTGCACTGATCCCCTGGAGGTAGGCTGCAGGATAGAGACATGCTGTAGTTTAAGCGTTTTTTAATATCCCGCTCCGCTTCTGCTACCTGGTTTCTGTTGACCTATGGAAGACTTGTACAGATTTCTCCCATTTAATCAAATCAAGTGAGAATCATGGCTGTGTAGATGCGAAATTAAAACTGCTTGCCAGGTGAATAAACCGCAATCTCCACCACCACCGCCGGTGTCTTAAGCACAGGAGAAGGCATTCTGCGTGTCACTTGGATGGAGAATGGAGTCAACCATAAAAATAAATACTTGCTTATAACATGGTTACATTTCTCATGGTTGCGATCAACCGTTCGCCAGCCCCTAGGCGAACGTGTTGCGGACACTGCTCTATGTTCGGGTGCCGTAGTGTTTTTCCGACAAGCTCGGCGTTTAAGTGGAACCTGTGGGAACATGTCTGCTACTCCAAAGCCTCTGCTGACAGCGGCCAGGGGAAGGGCTGCTCAATAAGAGGTATGAGCAGGGTGTGTAGTTCATCTACAGGGACAGGAGCAGAACACTATTCCAAGCTTTACGCTATACTGTACAGCCGCCAGTTCTTGTGTTGCGTATGTATGTGTACATATACTATATAGTGTGTGTACACTCACCTAAAGGATTATTAGGAACACCTGTTCAATTTCTCATTAATGCAATTATCTAATCAACCAATCACATGGCAGTTGCTTCAATGCATTTAGGGGTGTGGTCCTGGTCAAGACAATCTCCTGAACTCCAAACTGAATGTCAGAATGGGAAAGAAAGGTGATTTAAGCAATTTTGAGCGTGGCATGGTTGTTGGTGCCAGACGGGCCGGTCTGAGTATTTCACAATCTGCTCAGTTACTGGGATTTTCACGCACAACCATTTCTAGGGTTTACAAAGAATGGAGTGCAAAGGGAAAAACATGCAGTATGCGGCAGTCCTGTGGGCGAAAATGCCTTGTTGATGCTAGAGGTCAGAGGAGAACTGACCGACTGATTCAAGCTGATAGAAGAGCAACTTTGGCTGAAATAACCACTCGTTACAACCGAGGTATGCAGCAAAGCATTTGTGAAGCCACAACACGCACAACCTTGAGGCGGATGGGCTACAACAGCAGAAGACCCTACCGGGTACCACTCATCTCCACTACAAATAGGAAAAAGAGGCTACAATTTGCACGAGCTCACCAAAATTGGACAGTTGAAGACTGGAAAAATGTTGCCTGGTCTGATGAGTCTCGATTTCTGTTGAGACATTCAAATGGTAGAGTCAGAATTTGGCGTAAACAGAATGAGAACATGGATCCATCATGCCTTGTTACCACTGTGCAGGCTGCTGCTGGTGGTGTAATGGTGTGGGGGATGTTTTCTTGGCACACTTTAGGCCCCTTAGTGCCAATTGGGCATCATTTAAATGCCACGGCCTACCTGAGCATTGTTTCTGACCATGTCCATTCCTTTATGACCACCATGTACCCATCCTCTGATGGCTACTTCCAGCAGGATAATGCACCATGTCACAAAGCTCGAATCATTTCAAATTGGTTTCTTGAACATGACAATGAGTTCACTGTACTACAATGGCCCCAACAGTCACCAGATCTCAACCCAATAGAGCATCTTCGGGATGTGGTGGAACGGGAGCTTCGTGCCCTGGATGTGCATCCCACAAATCTCCATCAACTGCAAGATGCTATCCTATCAATATGGGCCAACATTTCTAAAGAATGCTTTCAGCACCTTGTTGAATCAATGCCACGTAGAATTAAGGCAGTTCTGAAGGTGAAAGGGGGTCAAACACCATATTAGTATGGTGTTCCTAATAATCCTTTAGGTGAGTGTATATGTTGACAAAATAAAGGAAGCCATGAAGCTAATTATGTACCTGATAAGGAATAGGGCCACCCTTTGTCTTCATAACCACGGGTGTAAATTATGGAGGGGATATAGTCTAAACCAGTCAATACAATTCCCTGGACCCCCTAAATGGTGGAGACCTCAACCCAAAGTAATGCCCTTGTTCACAGCAGCTTCAGTTCTTCCTCGAATGCTGTCAAACAATTGCTCAGCTGTGGTTAGTAGGAAATTGGACCATTCTCTTTGAGGTATGGAGCAAGTGGAAATGTCTGTACTCTGGGTTCCTGAACTTAACATAGAGGGTCAGTGATTGCGGTTAGCATGGAAGGTGTTTGCATGTGATCTTGGTGTGAAACCATTTTTAATTAATTTAGTGTTGTTTTGAGGGGAATTATCTAGGATGAGGGAACCGTGCTTTCGTCATAAGGTGTACCTGGACTCCTCAAATGGTTGTGTATTCCTTGGTCTTTGTATGATTATGCAGAGCTATCCTTGTATCTGATCTGATGATTTCTGTGATATGGCTGGCCAGACTAAGATGGACTGTGTGAAAGCATCTTTCAGCTTCCTCCAAACGTAAAGCCATCTGGATGCAGTAAAAAGTGTGAAAGGTGACTCGTCGGAGCATAGTGCCTTTGCCTGTCGCTTAGGGGTTCAGGTTTAGCACTTTTTACAGTAGGTTATGCACCTTCGCATTGGGTTTGGATCTAAGCAGTCCCCCATTCACACATTAAGTAATCTGGCCATTTTTGTGACCGATTGACTCGCAGTCTATTCCCTTTGGAATGCCGGGATCTGCCTCGTGTTGCTTTGAAAGCTTGCATACCAAACTGCCGATTGTCAAATCTCTTTTGTAGTTGACAAGTCCTGCTAATTGGCTTTGCACTTAAAATGAGTCATTTCTGTAGCTCCATTTGTAATTGGAATTTAGTTGTGTCAAAGTTCATCCTTTTTCATGTCGTGTTCCTGTTATTTTCTCCGCCCCCTATGTATTTGTTTGTGTCTGTATATCTGTGATCCATTCAGCATTAGAATGAGTCTGAATATAAGGAAGGTGAAGTACAACTCTTGGTAATCAGCCTTGGGTTTAGCTGTTACTATAGACAAGTGTTGGTGGATGAGATAAACAAGTAGGCCCTGATATGAGTAAACTAATGCAAACTTGTGTTCCATAGCAATCTGGTGAGGGGGGGGGGGTGCATGAAATAGTGTTAATGCCAGACAAGCAGATTAATCAGATTCAAGAATTTAACAGTGCTGTGGTATAATGTCAGTTAATGTGCATTAATGTCATGCTGGCTGTAGAGGTCCTTCAGTCATGACATCATCAGCATCTGATTCATAGGGACTGATTTTTACAGATTTTTGGTTCAGGGCAGATGCATAATCTGTGACCTATATACGAAGCATGTATGTCATGTTTTGGTGAAGGTGGGCTTTGATGCACGTATGAAGCTATCCGAGGTCTTTGGGAAGTCTTACTTCTAATCATTTATAGTCAAACTATACAGGGCAATCCGGTCCTCCGAGACCCACAGCTGGTCCATGTTTTTGCTCCATCTAAACTCCCTGCCAGACAGTCCATGTTTTTGCAAAAATGCGGACTGTCTGTGGGTCCCCAAGGATCGGATTGGATGGGAGACGGAATGTGTTTGCTGCCAACAGATTGCAGAAATTTAATTTCCTTTTCTAATATTTGAAGCGAATCCTATCCAGGCTTTCCTCTGCCATGTGCCTGTACTTCTTGCCATAGGGTCCAAGCTCATCGTGACCCTTTCCCGGATAAGTGGTTATGGAAGATGGATGGATGAAATAAATTGATTTTCTTCCACCATTTGGTGCCTAAAAGGAAAGCCCACTCTTCTGCGGGCCCTGGTTCCATCTCGTCAAGGCTGTAACAGATGGACGCCAAGTTTAGGGTCTGGAACCAACTAGTTGGAGCTGCGTGTGTCTCAGTGTTTATTTTTGACATTTTTTGTGGCTTTCGACATTGGCAAAAAAACGATCAAATTTAATTAGTCTCTCACATGCAGAAAATTGGGAAATTGCCCCCATCTCATAAGCGAACTTCCACTGACGTTTGTTTGTGGCTGAGTGGTTTAGGGTATCTGTGAGCAGCAGGGTCGTCGGCTCAATGCCAGGGTCAGCAAAGCGATGTCACTGAAGTGGCCCTGAGCGGGACCCTTAACCTCAATCGCTGCAGGGACTGGCTGACTCTGATTACTCAACTGTATGGCACTTTGGATAACAGCGTCTGCTGAATAAATGTAAAGATTATTTTCTGGTAAGGAACTAATTGCCTTTGGCAGTCCTTTAAAAGTAAATAATGCTGAGGGTTAGGGTACTCTCAAGCTTTTTTGCTAATGTAGTTTTTCTCCTTTGGTTAATATATTTTTTGATGTGTATTCAGAGCAAAATAAAACTTCAGAGTGAATTCTGAAGCAGAAAAGCAGCCATGAAAGGCTAATTAATCAGGCCCTTGATGTGTGCTGTATGCCGTATAGGTAAATATTTGAGGTGTTTGTGTGTCTTTGCTGACTCGATGCTTATGCCAGCGTTCTGGCTCCCTGGGAAGCCCGGAAAATTCCGGAATTCCTGTGAAATCCTCAAACGGGAGGAGAGAGGACTGCCGTTTTCTGCTGCTGCCCTGGTTCAGCCTCAGAATAGTCATCAGCCTGCTTTGCAGTTTTTTCCCTCACATTCACCACTAAGATATTTGAAATCTCAGGTACAAGTGCTTTGCTTTTCCAAGTAAAATTTAGCTCATGGGGTCCAGACCCTAGCAGTTTAGCCTTCTTAAGTGTTTTGTAGTGGTGAAGATGGGTTTTGTTGAGCATCTCATTTAGGTGCCATGGTGACACAGTTGAGGGACTTCCTAATTTATTCTGGTTTCTTTGCACAGTCCAAAAACTTGCATGTTGAGGAGCTGGTATCACTAATTTGGTCATAATATGTTTTGTGATGGATTGCCATCTTGTCCTTGTCCCCAGTGATGTGCAGCCACCTTGTCCTTGTCCCCAGTGATGTGCAGCCACCTTGTCCTTGTCCCCAGTGATGTGCAGCCACCTTGTCCTTGTCCCCAGTGATGTGCAGCCATCTTGTCCAATGTGACCTTGGACCCTGCCATTCCTGGGATAGGTTCCAGACTCATCACAGCCCTGTACTGGTTATGGATATGGGGAGGGTATCTGGTTTAACAACCGTTCTCTTTGTTTTCGTTAACCAGGATGTTTGTCTGGAGACCACGGCCCTCTTATGACTGCTCACCGTGTGAAGTGGCCAGTCCTGGTCACCCGGCGTGCCGAGAAGCTTGGGAAGACCGTGGACCTGGGGGTCATGGGTAGTAGCATGAAGGTGGTCCGTCACCCACACCATCACCAGCTGGATGAGCTGCACCGGCACCCACCAGCCAACCACCTCAGCGATCTCCCCAGCAATCTGCCACACGGCCAGTCGCGGGCCAGGATCGGCAAGCTTCGGCCCGCCTTAATCACACCCCCCCATTTCCGGCAGGCACCCCCCGAGCAGGCAGCTGGCTTTCTGGCTCGCACCGAGGACGACGTGAGGGTGGAGAACGCCCCCATCTCCGTCAGACACCTCGTCACTGTGGTAGGCACCTCCCTCTCTCTCGGTGCGCAGTGTTTCTCTCCAGAAAAGCTGATGCTCAGAGCTTTAGTCCAGTGTTTCCTAATCCGGTCCAATCCGTGTTTTTGCTCCTTCCAAAATTGTGGTCTGTCTGCGGGTCCCCGAGGATTGGATTGGGGAAACACCGCTCTAGTCTAAAACTAGATTCCATGCTTCTTTCTAAAGCTTATTGTCATTAAAGGACAATAAGGAAAAGTGATCACTGTGAAATAAGTCCTCCTAATACTATTTTGTTTCTAAAATTTATAATGCTTAGACATCACGACCTTTTCGACGTTCAAAATGCGAAAGAGCTAAAGTTTATCGACTGACGCGAGAATTGTCTTTAATCGGGCTAAATTGGATTGACCTGTGGACCTCCACTCTGCTACACCCTGGTGGGTCTGATGCCCTTATGACTCTCTCAGAGGTGTGTGACAGATCCCTCCCCCTCCTCCCACTCTATGCTGCGGGCAGGGTCCCCCAGTGATGAGGGACTGGGCTTGGATATTGACGAGTACCGTCAGGGTCTATAAATCAGCAGGGAGGGTTTTGTGATTTTTATCATGGCTCAGATTTATAGTGTCTTTGGAGCCTGTCAGTGCACAAAGATACTTCAGTCATCATTCATTTTTGGGGATGGAGGAAGGGAGGCCTGGAAGGAACAGGAATGACTCTGAGATGCTGTACCCTTGAGGTAAGCAGAGGCCAGGCATTGCCGTCGTTGTGCAAAACAGCCATATTGGTACGGTGTCCATTAGCTCATGTTATGGCCAGTTAAGAACAGGTAACAATGCTATTTTTATAAGTGGTATCTGTTCTGGGGGCGGAGCTTTGACAGGGTGGGGCTTCTGGGTCAACATTTGATTGGGCCACTAGGTGTCGTGGATAAACAGCGGCGGAGCTTAAACTCAGCGGTATGGCAGGCCGATGAAGCTAATGTAACTAGGGAGAAGGTTCTGGAACCACTCTCCGTCACCTCTTCATAGACCTGCCTCCTGTTCGATGGTGCCTGGCTTCACCTCTGTGTGTGTATTCGTTTATCAAATAGCCAAATGTAGGGGGATGTGTTCATCATAGGGAATGGTGTTGTATTTTGGAGGATGCGCTAAAAATCGCTGCTTTCTGTTCACACCCCACCCCCGATGGACAGGATCAGTACAGACATAATGTACTCAGGCTAAATGAGTTGATCATATAATGATGTTGCTCCTGCCAAGATCCAACACATTTAAATATTTACGACCCTCACCGACATGCCAGTTAACTGCTGCCTGTCACCCTGATGAAAGTTGTGATTTAAAATAAATAAATAAATAAAAAATATGTATTATGTGTATTTTTATTTATTTTTTTACATGTGTTTAAAGACACGCACCTTTTTGAGCAAGAGCTGTGACCTCGTTCTGTGAAGGGAAGTTAATAGGAAGTGGTATCCAGGAAATGATGTTCTGTGAAGGGAAGTTAATAGGAAGTGGTATCCAGGAAATGATGTTCTGTGAAGGGAAGTTAATAGGAAGTGGTATCCAGGAAATGATGTT